TACTATTCATCAATGCGATGACTTCGTATCAGTACTGTGGGAAAGAAAGAGAAATCATTCCAGAAGACGTGAAAGAATTAAATGTTCATCCTCTCGTTCGACAGATTCCTTTTAAGGCTTGTCGCATGTTTGAACAATTGACACGGGTCAACTTCAATGGTTCCGATCTAACATCAATTGGAAAGTTAGCTTTCTATGAATGTACAAGTTTGCTGGAAATCAAAATACCTGCGTCTGTGACGATTATTGAAGGTTCGGCATTTGCTGTTTGCCGCTCATTGACAAGAGTTCATTTTCATGAAGATAGTGTGTTGACTATCGTTAAAGAGCGGGCTTTTGCTGCTTGCAAGTCATTGACTGAAGTCAGGATTCCTTCAAGTGTTGAGACCATTGAAGAAGGTGCCTTTGCGCATTGCTGGTCGTTGAGAAAACTTCATTTTCATCTAGATAGTTCATTGACCACCATCGGAATAGAGGCCTTTGTCCAATGCAGATCCTTGGCCGATGTCACCATTCCTTCAAGTGTCGTGAGAATTCAAAGTCGTGCCTTTTTGAGATGTGAACTCTTGGCAAGAGTGCTCTTCAAGGAGGGGCTGAAAGTCATTCATACTGATGTTTTCTACGGCTGTGTCAAATTGGAAAACGTGGACATTCCGAGAAGTCTTGAGGTCATGGACTGCGGTGCATTTTACGACTGCACTTCATTGCAGAAAGTGAATTTTGAGGAAGGAAACTTGAGAAAAATTGGAAAACAGGCCTTTCAAGGATGTCGGAAATTGCACACAATCAATATCCCTACCACTGTGGAGCGTCTTGAAACAAGGACGTTCAGGAACTGCGCCTCATTGGAGGTAGTGAAGTTCCAGAATGGTCTCAAATATGTGGAAGAAAAAGCCTTTTACATTTGCAAGAATCTGCAAGCAGTTGCTATGCCGGGATCGGTGAAGTTGATTGGCCCAGGGGCTTTTCGTGGAAGTCCCAAGTTGTTGTCAGTGGACTTGGGGGATCGCCCTAGATCTTTGCAGATAGATGACTCCGTCTTTTGGGGATGTGCATCTTTAGTAAACCTTTGTTTTCCTGCCAAATCCCCGTTGACCCTCCGCACTGTGGGCTACGACGTCTTTCAAGGCTGCACAACGCTGCAAAATCATTATGGCGAAAGGATCCCCTCGTTTGCCGTGGAGCGTCGCTTTGAGAACTTTCCGATACACAAGCTATGTTACCACGCCTCTGTTACAACACCAGATGAGCTGACTCTGGAGATTGAGTCATCAAAGCAATCAATGCAAGGCAATAATACTACCCATGCTCATTTGGTTGACCCTTTTGGTTTGACACCCTTTCACGTTCTGTTGTCGGCTGCAACCTGCAGACTTGATCTTTTGCAACTCATGCTAGATGTGTATCCACCGTATGTCCTTGGATGGAAAGACGTGAATGGAAAGACTGCCGTTGAATACTTGACCCAACGAATGTATCTGCATGAAGACTCACGAACCATGCTTCGATCGGCCCTTGATCGATGGTTGGTGGGTTATATATCGAGCTGGAATGTATTCGAAGCTTGGAACAATGACATGTTAAGTAGGGTGAATGTGATTGTTGCCGAGGAGGAAGTCGAACTGAGACAATTTTTGCTTCGAGAAGCGTCGATGGCTTTGTCGCGGTATGAAAAGATGGAGGCTACGACGTTGTTGGAGTTGTCTTTGTGGAAAGCTGTGTTAAAGTCGGCCAACAGTGTATTAGAAGATGATTCAGTGAGGACTATGGTCGACTGGAATAATCGAGAAGCATATCGGTTTCGAAGCGGTGCTTCAGTCGTCGTGCCGAATGTGATGGCATTCTGTTATGACACCAATCTTACGTAAAGGCGATAGCATAAAAAATTGATTTTGCAGCTTTTCATATAATTATATTTGGAAACGAATATCCATGCGCTCTATATATATATATTAGAATGCTTTACTACTTCTCAATCCTCAAACCTGAATCATCACTGCATCATACTGTACCATGACAGATACAATGACATTATTCGATTCATTGTACCAGCCACTGTAATCGTGGGCGGGGGTCGACCATATTCAATATCCAAGCCATTAATCGCAATCCAACACTGCAGTACAGTATTGTCACAGCATATGATGACGCGAGAGTTCAGGGTGCGTTTGAATCTACTAGTACTAGAAAGGCAGTAGTAGTAAACTAGAATTTTTTTCTCTGTTGCTGTTCGAAGTGACGACGGTATCTGGTGTCCGCTAGCGAGATGCAATTGCGTGTTTGCAATAAACACAAAAAAGTGTGCTGAAGCCATTACAAGTACTGTACAAGTATATTGAATATGTTGCAAGTAGGATCACAGAGGTTTATTACTCTGCCTGGAGGTACTTTCCTAGTCTCGTTTGTAATGAGGATTGCGCGCACATTGCTTACCAGTAAACGTACGACTAGGTACCATTTCGAAGGTGAACGTGTACCACATAACACGCATTGCAGTTTGCCGGATGTGTGATAGCCCATACCGTGTACTGTACAATAGATATGCATGCATTCAAGTATGTCGTATCACTACTTTGGCAATGAGGATGAAGCTTTACCACAAGATGTCCAACACTTAATCGTTGAAGCATCCGTTCAAGTCATTCCAGCGGAATTTAGCTTCTTTCGATTCCGTCGATTGACCAGGGTGGATTTGAGCGATGGCATCCAAACGATTGGAAGCTTGGCCTTTGGTTGGTGCAATCTTTTGACACGAATTGTGATTCCAGCATCGGTAACGGTGATCGAAGAAGGCGCCTTTGAAAGCTGCATATCCTTGGAATCTGTGATACTAGTGGACGGTGACGATGATCCATCATGCTTGGTCACGATTGGCGAGCGTGCCTTCAACTGCTGCGAAGCCCTGGAGGAAATCACGATCCCTTCCAGTGTAAAAAGAATCCAGGACTATGCCTTCCGGAGATGTATCTCTTTGGTTCAGGTGTCCTTCCGGGAAGGGTTAAAAGTTATTGGATGCGGCTCCTTTCAAGAGTGTACATCATTGGAACGAGTGAACCTTCCAGAGACAGTTGAAACGTTGAGATCCGAGGCCTTTCGAGAGTGCTCTGCATTATGGGAAGTCAATTTATCTGAAAAGTTGAACGAGATTAGAAGCCGGACCTTTTATGGATGTTCTGCCCTTTCTGTTGTGAACATGGCCACTAATAAGAGGCTCGTGACAGGAACGGGCATTTTCGAGCAAGGAGACCACCAGACTCCACCATCGATATACACCGGAGTCAAGGTCATTGGAGAATATGCGTTTTGTGGCTGTGAGGGATTGACCTCTATTGCACTGCCACCGTCAGTGACGAATGTTGAAAGAGGGGCCTTTCAAGATTGCTCCAATTTGGTGTCTGTGGAACTTGCTCAGCACAGCAGCACAAATGTGATGAGTATCGAGTACTTTGCCTTCTATTGCTGCGTGTCCTTGGTCAACATTTCTATGCCGGTCACCACTGCTGAGGTTGCAGGTTTTGGGAGCTGTACCTTGCTATGTGAAAAATATGGCGCTGCCAATCTTCCGAATGCGCTGATGCGTCGATTCGATGGATACCCGATTCACCGAAAATGCTATCATGCATCGGCGACAACTGCGGACGATCTTATTCGAGAGATTCAGTCCAACGAAGGACTGGTTTATGGGGACGACTACAAGCAGGCTTTGGTCGACCCGTTTGGTATGACTCCCTTTCATATGCTGTTGTCAGCTGCCAATGGTGCGAATAGGGCCGATTTGTTGCGCATCCTTTTATTTTCATTCCCACCTCATGTCCTCGGGTGGAAAGATAGCTTTGGTATGCTTGCCGTAGAATACTGTTGGGAATATCAATGGAATGAAGATGCAAGGCGCTTGATCCGAATGATACTACGTAGATGGATGGTCGGTTCGATTGCGGGTTGGGGTGGCTTGCAATCATGGAAGCCGCACATGTCAACATTCATCGAGCTATTTCTTGCTGAGAAAGATGACGAAATGAGCAACACCCTATTCAAATACTTGCAGTTCAAATTGGCACAGTTGGAGGTATGGGAAAAAATCTCACTATTGGATTTGAAGTTGTGGAAAACCGAGATGACGAAGCACTCTGACAATGATGACATGGGAGGGACTATAACTGAGTACGACAGAGAAACCTGTCGAATCCAGTGCGGTACTTCGGTTGTACTTCCGAATGTATTTGGATTTCTGTTCATAGAACCAACTTGGGCTTTTTCATAAACGCTATGGTATATGTTACTTATTAGTTTACATTAAATATTTGTCACAACCCCATTTTAAAGGAGCTCGGCAGCAGCCTTGTAGATTGGTCCATATTTCCCAGCCGATCCTCGGTGAGAATCCCCAATGGCCAGCACGTGCCACTTTTTCCCACCAGGAAGGCGATACAATTTGCACATGATCACGGATGTCAGATGCGAGATCTTGTCGTGATTGTCAAGATTATATTTGCAGAGTGGTGCTGCATCTTGTGGTGCATCGTCATCTCGGAACGCAATGGACGGAGAAACAATGTCTGCCAATGTTGCGTCGGCCCATGCGGAGATAACAAAGATGCAAGTCGTGACAGAAGACGGCAACTTTTCGAGATCAATGGTAATGGTGTGGGTCCCTTGTTGCGCCTCCATTTGATCCCCAGAGTGAACAATGGCACCATCACATCCCAAAATGTTAGAGTAGTCGATGGTGTCTACTCGCTTCTTGCCCTCGTACACCAAACAGGTGGCATCCAAATACTTGCTGCCGCCCTTGAACTTCCAGACATCAGTAAAGACAACCCGCTTCAAGTCGGCCGCCACGCTGTACTTTTGTCCCTTGGCAAGAATACTGCTGGTTCCACTGGCATGGACTCGAGAGAAATCCATCCCCTTCTTGTGGTATTTCTTGCGGAGCGAGTTGTGGACATGCATTCGAAGCAAGGAAGCCATTTCGGATTTGGATTGTGGACCCTTGAGTCCAACAAAGTGAAAGAATCGTTTCCAACTGTTCATGGTGAGAATGGTGTTGACTTGATCCCGAAAGTCGGCAAACGAGACGACGGAATGCTTCAGAACCGACTTGACCATTCCATGATCTTCTCCCATGGAATCCTCGGACGAGAGCTGAGATGACGATTCATCAGCAGTCGATTGGGTTGGAGTGCTGTTCTGAGCGGCTTCTTCCAAGATGTAATCGAAAAGAGTGTTCGATGAGATCTCTTCTTGTTTGTACACAGTTTGTTTTGCACTTTTCTTTGGCTCCATGAAAAAGGCATCGCACGAAAGGGCCCTGTCCAGTACGGTTCCTTTGCAGCAGACCTTGTTGAAAAAGACGTGAAACATTGTGAGACGCAGTGAAACGTACACTGCTTCTCTGGTGCAAGTGATGCGGTCGTCTTCTTGCTCCGTCGTTTCCGTCTTTGGCGCCTTGGCCAAATGGGGGTACTCCTTGCATACCCAAATAACACAGCGATCAAACATTTCCAGGAGGTATTTGCCTCGGATATTGGCCCAACTAAAGACACTTTCATCCACAATCATTAAAAGGGGCAAGATGGATCCCAAACTGGGGCAGTTGTACTTGAGACGATTCTTTTCATTGTTGACAAAGGCTTCGAGGCGCTGAGCAGCTTGCTTTTGAATGACGGGATACTGTTGTGCCAGAGCCAAAAAGAGACGATGGATGCGGATCAGCCCATCAAAGCTCTTTTGAGAAGCCGAGACACCTTGGTCCGAGAGCAAGACCACAAAGGTGTTGACAATCTTGGGAAAGACATCCAAGATCATGTACGGAGAGAATTTGGTGGTCTTCTTTTCGGGACATAGCTTCACAATGGTTCGTTGGATTCTTGGCAGGGCTCTCTGAAAGTGTTCTCTTGTAAAGTACAGAGGCAAAAACAACTTGAGCTTGTTCTCAAAAGCATCATTGCGGATATGATCCCGATCAAAGGCAGTCTGGCTCAATAAGTCTTGCGATAGAGAAATATAGTCCACGGTCTTCTTTTTGGGATTGACTGTAAAGTCTAGTCCAACTCCCAAAACATCTTCCACACAGGTACTGCGATTGTGAAAGCAACGCATGGAATTCTGAAGTCCTCCTTGGAAGATTTGGTAGGCAAACTTCCACCCTTCTTCCGAGACTGCAGACCGCGAGTTCCAGCAAAAGTCTTGTTGGAATCGGGTCTTCCAAAGAAATCCTTGATCGCACAAGGATTTCGTTTGCTTGGAGCAAGCACCAAGAGAGAGCAACTCTTGAGGTCCCAAAAACGAAAGGATTCCTCGAGACATCACATCCGTGGGGATGAGATCCAACAATAAGCCCTCTTGAGTCGACTTGGAGGAGGAGGAGGAGAAGGAGGACCGAGTTTCGTGCTCCAAAAGAGAAAAGTGATTCCTTGGTAACGAAGCTGTCTCTACAATATTCTTTCTCTCGTTCTTTCGTTTGGGAGAAGGAGTGACAAACTTATTGGGTTTGTTTGGTGTGCCAGCAGTAGCAACTGTTATCCATCCATCATCATTATTGTCCAAAGTTTGAGCGGTGTTCTTGTTGATGGATGGATTCATGCTGGAACAATTTGATTTTGTGAGAAAGATCCAACGACTT